GGCATGATGGAGGAGGAAGGGAACATTCGTAGGGGCTTTTGAGACTGTCTCCTCTGTGTTTTGGCTAAGTGTCCTGTGCCAGAGTTTACTCCATCTAGTTAATGAAGTATCCTCCTCCCAAGGGGAGGTTACCCTTAGAATTCAGGTTAATTCCTCTATGCTTGAGTCACCCCTTCTCACTCATCTTCCCTCCGGCAGCCTGTCCATCAAAAGAGGAAAACACATGTGCCTTTCTATGTCAGAACCTTTCTTGATGGTTCAAGTAGGAAGGAGATTTCTTGAGGGCTTCAACTGACCTCTCTCCTCCAATTTGATTTCTCAATCTTATGTATTTACTGCTTTGTCTCCAGGTTGGGTTTATTTGTGGGACAACAGAGCTCCCAGTTACCATGTTCTGTATTCCCTCCGCACTTTTCTCCCAGTTCAGAAGATAAAGGTTATCCGTGGGGGTTTTTCTCACTTCTACGGAGGTTCTTTAGTACTGGATGGGAGCTTTTACACTTGAGGGTTCTTCCATAACGTTTTCCTGGGCAGCCTGCTCACAGCTTTTGATTTTATTGTCTCCAATTTGGGAAATGTTAGTGAGAATTTCTGGGTGTGATTTGCCTCTTCTTTTATCAGCATTGTTTCTTCCTGTCTTCCTCCCTCCTTCCTTCCATATTTCAGAGATGTTGAGAATCATAGCATTGACTCATAGGTTAAAACTTCAACTCCGAAAAATAAACCCCAGGTCCTTCCTTTCCTCCAAGGTGTAATTTCTATGAAACTAATCAAAAGGTGCTTGTTGAGTGTTTACTCTGTACAGGTCACTTTTCTTGGCTCCGTGTAAGGGAAAAAAATGTGAAAGGCAAGATCTCAGTTTTCAAGAGCCGGCAAAATATGAACATGAAAAGGTAGAGAGGAGCAGGCAGGCCCAGATTATCTGCCTGTAGTCCATACGGAGAGGTCAGGGGATTTTATGGGATGGAGAGGTAAGCAGGGACTGCGTGGCTCACGGCAGCGCTGAACTTTAATGATAGCAAACTGATTAAGAATATGTATCCTAAAGTCAGACTTTGATTGAATACCAGCTTCATTCCTTCCCAGTTTGCTATTTTGGGCAAGTAACTTACCTTGCCCAAGTAATTTCAACATCCTCGTTTGTAAGATATAGCTATTAATAGAATCTTCCTCTTCAGGCTATTGGGAATATTAAATGAAATAATGTATGTAAAGCACTTAGCTTGGCTCCTGGCATAAGTGTTTCGTAAGTGGTAGCTATTAAAATTTCAATAGGAAGTATTATGTGTTGAAAACCTTTAAAATGCATGCCTCTTTGACCTAGAATTTCCACTTCTTGGAATCTATCCTAACTAAATTGGAAATGCTCACAGTGACTTATTATCCTTGCAACATCTCTTATGATACTGAAAAGCCATAAATGACCTAAACATTTAATCATGGAAGATGGTTAAATAAATCATGATCCATCCATACCAGGAAAGCTCTATACCTTTTAGCAATTACATTGCAGAATATTTAATGCTATAGGAAAATCTTCACCCCAAATTGTTAGCTGGTAAAAGCAAGTTATCAATCTGCATTAGTGTATGCTCCTAAATCGATCTCTTGCATTCTTGAGAAGTTGACTCATTTGGAAGATTTTCCTCCAGCATATGTGGGTTAAGAAATTTAATGAGACCTGGATACTATTTACTATGTCGCGTGTTATTCCCAGTGCCCATGGAGCTTACCTGGCACCCACCGGCTTTCTGGTAGTTTCTGTTTATCTTTCCATCCAAGCAACTTTTATAACACAACAGTTCTCAGAATCCAGACTTGGTGATGTAAGGCCTCTTGGATGTTTGTACTCACTGGGAGCGGGCACTACGAGCCTTGAACCTGGGAACAAATATCGGGGAAGAAGGAGGGAGAGGCTGGAGACCCAGAACCAAGACTTCACATGGTTACTGCTTTGTGATGACTCTGGCCAAATTACTTCCTGTGGCAATCAGACTTCCAAGTGATTCCCTACTTCCTAGGATTCATGCCCTTGTGTAATCTCTTCCTTGAATGTGGGCTGGACCTAGTGACTTGCTTCTAATGAGCAGTGATGCAATGAAACATGATGGGATGTCTCTTCTAAGATTAGGTTACAAAAGACTGTCTTCTGTCTTGCTGACATTCATTCTGTTTCTTCCCACTGCTCGCCCTGATGAAGCTAGTTGTCACACTGTGAGCTGCCCCCTGGAGATGCCCATTTGTCAAGGAACTGAAGGTGTTGGCCTCTGGCCAACAGCCTTCAAGGAACTGAATCCTGCCAACAAACATGTGAGTGGGCTTGAAAGTGGATCCTTCCCCAGGCGAGCCTCAGATGACAACGCAGCCTCAGCCAGTCGACAACACCTAAGTTACATCCTCGTAAAAGACCCTGCTTTCATTTCATTATCTATGTTCTCTTGTATTTCATTAAGATAATTATCTTGAAATATTTGGCCAGCAGATCATAGATCTCCATTTCTTTGGAGCTGGTTACTGGAGCTTTTTTAGTCCCTTTGCTTTAGTCCATTTGCTGATTCTTTGTCATTCATGTAGCCTTGTGTTGATGTCTGTGCATTGGAAGGAGGAAACGTCTCTTTCCAGTCTTTACAAACTGGTGTTGGCAAGTAAGAACTTTCTGTCACTTCCCCCCAGCTACTAGGACACCACCAGAATCACAGTCGTGCAGGAGTGGAACCAGTGGAACCGGATGATTGTGTTTCCTGCCAGGTGCCTGGTTGGGCTGAACTATTCCCTGACCTTGGCTGGAGGGGCTTGAGCCAAACTTAGGCCCTCTCTGTATCTCCTGAGATGCAGAAGTGTCTCCCCCAAGGTCCCTGTGCCACGAGGACTGCTCACAGTCTATGGCTGGCACTCAGTTCAGGCCTCTTCAGGATCTCCAGGGATGCAGACAGTGGTGTCTCCTGCTGGGTCCCTGTCCCAACAGGACTGTACATGGGCAAGCTAAATGCGTTAGCAGGCCCTTTCAGAATCTACGGTCTGAACGAGTTTGGTGCATTTACCTCCAGGGGCTCCCTAACTGCGGCTGAAAAGGGCTGGAGCCTGATCCTGGGTCATTTCAGTGCTCACGGAGTTCTGCAAGCCTGTGAGCCAACGCTTAGGGGCGTGTCACTCCTCCCGGATCCCTCAGCATATGGTGCCAGTGACAGGACCAAGCCAAATGGGGCTGTAGCCAAGTCCTCGGGGACATGGAGCTGATTCTGGGTCTGTAGTTGGGAGTATGGTAGGCCAGCCAACCACCTGGGTGCGGGCCTGCCTTCTCAGAATGGTTCTTCTTGGTCTGGGACGGCACTGGGGTTTCACAATCTCCCACCTGGATCCCAAAGCTTCCACAAAGGCACTTTGTCGACAGAAGGATGCCAAATTATTGTTCAGAGGGAATACGAGACTGGAACATCTTATTCAGCCATCCTTCTGATGTCACTCAGGATATTATTTTTAAAAAGTGTTTTAAAACCATGCTTATGTTTAACCTTGTGTTATTTTACAATAATGAAAAATTGAAAACACACATTCAACAATAGATGATTGGCTGAGTCAATTATAATACTTTATAGGTTAGATTATTGTAATGCCATTAACAATGACCCTGAGGACTATTCACTGACCTGGGAAAATGTTTATAATAAAATGCTACATGACACAATTTAATTGACCAATGCTCTTCAAAACTGTCAGGGTTATGAAAGACAATGAAAAACCGAGACATTTTCCTAGTTCAGAATAAACTAAGGAGGCATGGCAAATAAATGCAAGGTGTGATTCTGGATTGGATCCTGGACCATAAACAGGACATTAGTGGAACAGTTAATGAAAATCAAATATGGTCTATAACTAATAGTATAGTTTCAATGTTAATTTCCTGGTTTTATCATTGTACTATGGTTATGTAATATGTTAACATTTGGGGAAGTTAGGTGAAGCGCATATAGAAATTCTTTCTACTTTTGTAATTTTTGTGTGTGTGCTCGTTGAAAAGTTTTTTTTGGTCAATTTCTGATGTACAGCATAATGTTTCAGTCTACATACGCATACATATATTCATTTTCATATTCTTTTTTTCGCTATAGGTTACTACAAGATATTGAATATAGTTCCCTGTGCTATATAGAAGAAACTCGTTGTATATCTATTTTATATGTAGTAGTACCTACAAATCTCAAACCCCAATTTATTCCTTTCCACCCCTTTCCCCCAGTAACCGTAAATTTGTTTTCTATGTCTGTGAGTCTGTTTCTGTTTTGTAAATAATTTTGTTTGTGTCTTTCTTTTTTTTTTTTAGATTCCACATATGAGTGGTATCATATGGTATTTTTCCTTCTCTGTCTGGCTTACTTAGAATAACGATCTCCAGGTCCGTCCATGTTGCTGCAAATGGCATCTGTTTTTGTCATTTTTGTGTCATATCAATTCAACATGAAAAAATTTTTAAACAAACAAAAAAATGCTACATGAAAACTGATAGGAAATAATACTGTATAATTTTTATACATTTAAGGAAAAAGTAAGTAAAGGCATATGCGGAGGAATATTATTTCGAGATGAGAATTGAATTTTATTCCTGTGGATAAAATTTAATTGAACTTTTATCCCCATCGATCTACTTCCTTGTCCAATGTAGGCCCTTCCAATACCACATCCCAGGTTTTCAAATTCAGCCCTGTCTTCCAAAACCTTTATCCTCCAATTCATTAAGCAGTCATTCGTACTAAATGTGAATGACTTAACTCTTAATTTCCTCAGTGTATTTGTATGGATGTATGTTTTTTCAAAAGAAAGTCTGGAGAGTTTAAACATGTTGACAATATTTGTAGAATTTCGGGCACAGAGGTGAGTGATTTTAAGATCATAGCAGGGAGAAGAAATTTGAGGTGGAGGGGTGCCTCTCTTGCTCACAAAAATGCCTCCTATTGCCCAAGAGCGATCCTGAGTCCAGGGAGCACTGTGTTCCTATTAGAACATCAGGTGTCCTTGCAAGCTTTCTCACACACTTCTTTATCCATAAAGTTGTTGTCATTGCCATTGCAGCCTCCGTAGGAAAAAAGCTCACATTCGTAAGTTTTCCAGTTGTAAAACCATCGCAGGACTAAGCCTCGACAAAGTCCGATTTCCATAGGAAGTTTGCATACATTTCTGGTGACAGGTTTGCCTAAAGAGAGAAAGTGGTTGAGAGGGGCCAAACCTATCGGCTTCCCCTTGTTAGTCCCACATGCCAGGGGCTGGGATGGCCCCGGGTACAATTGGGAGCTTGTCCATGCGCTGAGCTCTATTTCTTCCCACCCAGCTCACCTGGCCCACCCAGCCAAGGTCTGATCCATCGACACAGAATTTCACATCTGAGCTTTTCACATCTGAGAGTAGCCTGATACAGTGAAAATCCAAGACTTGGAAATCCAGCTCAAGTGGATACCAGTCCAAGCCCTGCCACTTACTACTGGGGGATGCTGTATCAACTTCTCCAAATCACCATTTCTTCATTTGTAAAACTAGGGAGTTGAACTCCATCATCTCTGAGCACCCTTCCAGACCTGGTTTTCTAGGATTTGATGAGTAAGATCTCTCAGGCTTCCACCTCCTGTCCCATTGTCATTCTCAATTGTGAAAGGAGGTCTGGCTTGAATCTGAGTGTGGGGTAGAAACTTGACTCAGTCACTTTCTAGACGTGTGATCTTGGATAAATCATATATAATCTTGATACTCAGGTTCCTTCACTGTAAAGTGAAGGCTTGCTGAAGGGTTGCTGAAGGGTTAAGGATAACTAATGAAAAGCACCGATCAATAGAAAAGCGTAAATACAAAACAGAAACAGACTCACAGACATAGAATACAAACTTGTGGTTGCCGGGGGGAGGTGGGTGGGAAGGGACAGGCTGGGAGTTCGAAATTTATAGAATTTTATAGAATAGGTAACAAGATGATACTGTATAGCACAGGGAAATATATACAAGATCTTGTGGTAGCTCATGGTGAAAAGAATGTGACAATCAATATATGTATGTTCATGTACAACTAAAAAACTGTGCTCTACACTGGAAATTGACACGACATTGTAAACTGACTATAACTCAATAAAATAAAATTTAAAAAAAAAACAGAAAAGCATCAATAAACAGTAACTGCTCTCAGTCACTCTTTCCCTTCCTTAACCAAGAAGACTCTGAGAACAGTTATCTCAACATCCTCTTTTCTGCAGTCCACATGCCTAACACAGGCCTGGCTCTCAGTGCTCAGTAAATGTTTGTTTAAACGGGGGGGAAAGCCATGAGATCCTCTGAAGCAGGGTTATAAGTTTCTTGTATTCTCCTTGTAGGTTCCTTGTATGTGAATGGCTTTATCCTTGCAATTACTCTTCAAGGTAGATATTAAGACTTCCAACTTTACATGAGGAACCTAAGCTCAGAGAGCTGAAGTGCCTTTCCTAATGTCATGCTAGAAAATATGACAGGCAAGACTTTCTTTGTGCTGCTGGGCCCCTGGCCCTACTCCCAGGCCACTCTTGGAGCTCCCATATTCATACGAACCTGGTCTTAATTCTGATCGAAGCTCTTGGCAGAGGAGGAGAAGCAGAAAAAGTGAGGGAGAGACCCAGAGCTGCATGATGCCACCTAGCTAGTGAGCTGGGGCTGGCATTTTAGGGAGAAAGGGGACCAAGGGGGAGGAGCCTGATCCCACTTTCAGCTCATTCATCCTGAACTTCTGCTATTCAAGGGGCTAGTCCACGCCTGGAACAGAGTGTCCAGCCGAAGCATGGCCTGGCTTTATCTGATCTGAAAGTGTCACAGACCACTTTACTACACTTCAAGGTGGAAGCCCCTTTAAAACAATAGCTACCTTTTGTTGAGTGCTTTTACCTTTCCAGGTATCCTACAAAATATTCTTTCACACACGGCCTCACCTGAATCCGAACAAGATTCCTGCAAGGCTTAGAACCCTTATTTTGTAAATGTCCCATCAATAATGAATTTCAGAGCCAGGACTTGGGACCCTTGTCTGTTCAGCTCCAATAGCTTTGTATCACTCATTCATTCAACACACACTTATTGAGTTCTCACAGAATGCCAGGCAGAATCGTAGATGCTGCCTTGCTCCCATCTGGGGGTTCTCAAGGAATTGTGTGAACAGCACACACATTGTTGTGCAGAAGGAGGGCCCAACTTTGTTTGGTTTAGAGAATCATTCTGTCTAGAGAATCATTCTGTGTAGAGAATCACCCAAATCACCAGGGTCTAGCCCACTTCCTGCCTACCTGCTTTCCCAGAGCCTCTAGAGATTTGATCTTTTGGAAAATAAAGTCAGCGTGGTTTAGTGGGATTGAGTGAGCCTCAGATTTGAAGCCTGAGGTTGTGCTTTTGACCTTGGGTGAGTCATTGAACATTTCTGAGCCTCAGTTCTCTCATCTATAAATGGAGATGAATTATGCTGGTTTAGCATAATTCCCAGAACTGGCGTAAGTGTTCAGTGAATTTACAAATGCTTCATACACTGTAAATGCGCACACAGGTACATGCCGCTTGCAGGTGTGTGTGTGTAACATCATGCTTTTTGGGAAATGGAAGCACAAACTAGATCAGCAAAACACTTGGTCTCTACAAATGTGTTATCCATCTTTGCACATTAGTGGCAGCTCTTCCTTCTCTTTATGCCCCCTGCAGCCATGATGCTAATTCCTTGGCCATTACTTCTCCCAGCTATAGTTCACATAAAGGTTGGCCAACCCTCTCATCACCTGCAGATCTTCACCATAGTTCATTGAAGGCTCTGCCAAAGCCCGCACTTCAACATCTCTGGGGCACATCTTTTGCACTTTGGTGGGTCTACCAGCATTATTCCTGGCATCTCTTTCCTTAGCTCTTGTAGATGGTCAGACAGTTCATCAGAAGCTGAAATAATGGCAGAAGGAGAGCCCCAGGGGGTAAACAGACTGGCATTTGCCATTTAGGCGGAAGAAAGGCAGAATTGCCTATGAGCGCCCTTGGCTGAGAACTTACTACGGTGTTTCGAGCGAGCATTGACCTTCTAATATGCAAACCAAAAGACCAGTTTTCATCTGGGTAAGGGGCAATTCTGCCCGCTCCCCAACCCAGGGACAGTGTCTAGAGACATTTTTGATTGACACAATTTAGGGATAGGGGGACACCTGCTGGTAGAGGCCAGGGATGCTGCTAAACATTCTACAATGCACAGGACAGGCTCACCACAAAGAATTATCTGCCCCCAAATGTTAATAGTGCCAAGATTAGGAAACTCTGCAGAAGAATTATGAATATACATACTTCCTTAATTATAAAAATATCTCCAGTGTTGGCAGCATGATAAGGACCACATAAAGTAAGAGCAGTGCCTGATGAGGTGTGCCTGTACTTGCTGGGCTGAATAAGCCTTGTGGGTGGGTGTGGGAGGCACTGGCCTTTAAAACCAGGCACTCTGTACCCGGTTGCCCTAGGGGGAAACCGCCGGCCATGACTCAGTGACTTAGCCCTTCCTCTGGCGATTTGGGTGTCATGGTTACTGTCATTCCAGAATACTTTTGGTTGAGACCTGATGATTTAGGTGCTGTAGGGATAGAGGAAGTAAATAAAGGTGGAATTTTGAAAAAAATAAAATCTCCCCATTCAGATTATAACCTCCATGTAACTTTTTGTTTTTTTTAGAAGTGTGAAGGAGACTAACATCACTAGAGCACCAGTTACGTATCAGGGAATTTTTTCCCTTGACTCATTACATTCTCATAAAAAGCCCTTGGAATAGATATTATTATCATTCCAAGATAATAAATAGAACAGAGAAACAGGGACTTAGAAGACTCCCTTGTAGATATAACAAATACATTTCTCTCTCTCTCTCTCACACACACACACACACCCCCAAGAGAGTTTATTTCTATTTTCACTTTATTTATGTTCAAAATAAATATCCAGAGGGGAAAAATAGGCTTGATCACTTTGAAAGCAGAGCCAATTTGTATCTACAGAAATGCAAGTGGAAATTTTAGCAGAGGATAATGTTTCGCATTCTATGCCAAGTAGCTTGTTTATAAATAGGGACTTTAGAGTAGGGGAGAGAAATGTCGCTAGAACTCAGAGGGCTGAAATTCTCTGTAAGACATAAGAAATTCCCACTATGGGAGCTCCAGGTTGATCACCGTCGTGGGAGATTTGACCATATAAGGTTTGCATCTGAGTGGTTGAGATCATGAAGGAATGCCTGCAATTTGCACTGTTTGCTCTAACACTAATCTTTTTTGTTTACGGAACACCTCCTACATACCAGGCAATATGTTATGTACCTTACATTGATCACCCTGAGTGATCTTCACAAAAACTCTCTGGCTCAGGTTTTATTGTTTTGCATATTTCACAGATGAGAAAACCATGACCCAAGGAAGTTACAAGAGATGCCTAAGTTTATTTAGTTCATAATTGGCCAGACTGGGATTTAACTTACGTTTCTCTGACTCAAGCCTTTGTTATACTGTATCCAGTGTAACCACTATACTGCATCATTCTGATCTTATACTGTATCATTCTACCATTACCCTGTCAAAGAGCTCTGTTCCTTAGGAAGTCCACTACACTGCATCACTTTTCATACCTCAGAGACTATCAATTCTCCATGAACTCAATCTCCATCCACTTCTGGGCTTTCTTCCTACTGGAAGTGGAGTCTACTAGAGGAAGGAAGGAACTCATAATATAGAGTAGTGTTTGGTGTGGCAAAGAGATCTCCGGCTTACGATGGAGATAGAATTGGATATATATCTATTGACTTAATTCTGGTAAAATATACTAAGTTTGTACCCCTATAACTCCATTTCCTGCCCCCCCATCTGTGCTTTTGTCATATATATTACGTTTGTGTGTGTTTTAAACCTAACAATACAGTGTTACAACAATTGGTTTAAACAATCTTGTCCTTTTTTTTTAAAAAAATTAAGAGCACACACATACACACACTTTTATATTTACCCACATATTTATCACTTCTGATGTTCTTCATTCTTTCCCACAGATTCATATTATCACCTAGAGTCATCTCCTTTCAGCCTTAAGAATCAGGTCTGGTAGCATCAAATTCTCTCCGTTCTCCCATTTATAAAGGAAAGCCTTCGTTTTTGCCTTTATTTCCTTTAATTGAAATTTTTATTGAGATAATTATCGATTCACATGCAGTTGCAAGAAATAATACCTTTTACCCCATTCCCCTCAATGGTAATATTTTGAAAAACTATAGTACAATATCGCAGCTGGGATATTGACCTGAAACAACCCACTGATCTCATTTAGATTTCCATTTTACTTGTACTCAGTTGCTTGTGTGTGTGCACATGTGCTTATTAGTTCTATATGATTATCCCATGTGTGGATTTGTGTATCCACCACCACAGTCCAGGTATTGCACTGCTCTGTTACTACCAGGATCCCTACTGTTGCCCTTTTATACCACATTTTTCTCCTTTCCAGCTCTTACCACCCCAATCTGCTGCCTCTGGCAACTACTGATCTGTCCTCTATTTCAAAATTTTGTCATTTCAAAATATGATATAAATGGAATCACATATATTTAATATGTGATTAAACACCATATGTCTCTGGAGATTCATCCAAGCTGTCCCAGGCATCATTAGTTCATTCCTTTGTGTTGCTGAGTACTTTTCCACGGATGGACCGCAGTTTGCTTAACCATTCACCTGTTGAAAGACATCTGGGCTGTATTTGGCTATTTATTATGAGTGAAGCTACTATGAACATTCATGTGCAGGTTTTTGTGTGAACCAAAGTTTTCATTTCTCTGGGACAAATGCCCAAGAGTGTAATTTCTGGGTTGTATAGTAATTGCACGTTTAGTTTTATGAGAAACTGTCAAACTGTTTTCCATAATAGCTGTACCATTTTACATTCCCAACAGTAATGAATGGGAGATTCCGTTTCTCTGCATCCTTGTTAGCATTTACTTTTGTCACTCTTTTTTATTTTAGCCATTTTGATAGGTGTATAATTATGTCTCATTGTAGTTTTAAACTGCATTTCCTTGATGGTCAGTAATGTTCAATGACGATGTTCAATGATGTCGAACATCTTTTAATGTTTATTTTTCATCTGTGTATCATGTTAGATGAAATATTTGTTCTTGCTTTTGCCCATTTTCTGATTGAATTGTTTGTGTATTGCTGAATTTTGAGAGTTCTTTACATATTAGAGGTACTAGTTTTTGTTGTATATATGACTTGTTGCCTTTATTTTTGAAGGATAATTTCTCTGAATATAGAATTTTTGTTCAGGGTTTTTTTTTTCTTTAAGAGCTTTGAATATTTTATTCTGATGCCTGTTGGCTTCCATTGTTTCTGATGAAAGGTCAGCCATTAACTGTGTTATCGGTCACCTTTATGTGATGAGTCATCTTTCTCTAGTTGTTTTTGAATATGTGGGGGATTGGTTCCAGGACCCACCACAGATACTAAAAGTCATAGATGCTCAAGTCCCATCGTTGGCTCTCTGTAGCTGTCGTTTCTCATCTACAGATTCAACCACCCACAGATCATGTAATACTGTATGCATTTACCGGAAAAAATCTGCATAGAGGTGGACCCATACAGTTCA